GGTAACAAGGGAAGGTTTTTTTTAAATTGAGCCAACAAGTTGTGTCTGTACAGAAGCTACAGACCAACCCAGCACTAGTCCTGTATTCTTTGTTGTTCCTCCGAGTGTTGCTTTTCCTCAGCTACCCCTCAGAGCTGAGCTTTCATAGAATAGGCTATTTACCTTGCCTTCTTATAAATAATTTGCCCAGGAAAGAGGAGTTGAAATAATTTTATTACTAAAGTTCTCCCACCTCTTTATTTGATGAAACCTAAAGTGCTGCCCTTTTTGTAAGCTTGCAAAAGGGAATCTGAATGGCAAGTTCTTTAGTCTTCATGTGATTTGTATAGCTGATGAGGGTCTCTAATGATTCATTAGATAATTATTGAAAAATTGTTCATGGAATTTGTGGAAGTATTAATTGAAGCAAAATACCTGTGCTGCTCTAGGATATTGAAGTGGGTTTGCTTCCTAGTGTGCTTGAATCATGTAGTTAATTAAAATAACTGCACACTTCACTCTTTTGTATTGTGCTCAGTTTGTCTTTCTTCATTATGTTTATTTCTGGGCATCAGAGAACACCTTTTATCTGATTGATATTTTGGTAGCAGAACCAGTTCACTGTAGTGCTATTGTATAAATTAATTTGCTTTAGTCTGTTAGCAAAGCAGGTTGTAAAAGTACAGTTTAGTAAAGGTATACTGTGTTGCTAGGAATAGCAAGCTTTTGATAAGTGAATTTGTAAATGATCTAATTATCTTTTTTTTATGTGTTTATCTAAAGCAAATACTATCTTTAGTTCTTATGAATTCACTGAGTGTTTAATAGTAGCTTTTAAACATTATTTTAAGAATTATCAGAAGGTACAACATTGACAATTACCCCAACCCTGAGATTAAAAACATTATCTTACAAATCTGCTGTCTGTATTTTAGTTGTATATAACAGCATATGTAATTTTTTATGGTACTTTTTTTGTTGTTTCAAAACGGGAGATCTGGTACAGAGAGAAATCCATCCTGTCGCCTTGAGTGTAAGACACAGTGCTGGCTCGCTGTGCTCTGGCACGTGCTCCCTTCAGAACCATGAAAGCTTTCGTAGAAATTTGAGTCAGAGGTTGCAGCTTTCTATGAAGAAGCTGAGAAAGATACAAAATGAGAAATGAAACACAAGGAAAATCGTATCATGATTAATCAAATCATGTATTGGAGTTTTTTTTTCTCTGTTGCTTGTTGTATTGAAATACTGACTGTTTTTTAATGTAAATAGGTGGAAGGATGCAGGTGTCACAACACACTGCCTTGGTTAGTTGTTCACAGTGTGAAGAAGGTCTATCCAATGTTGTTTTGCTATAAAATGTTAGAACTATTGTAGGAAAGGGTGTTAGTGTAGTTTCTGGTTTGGGTTTGGTTTTTTTTTTTTAATTTCCCAGAGTCTTGGATCTAAATCCACGCTCTAGATTTACATTTTGATATACTCCAAGGGATTGTTTGGTCACATTTGCAAGACTTTCACATTTATCTGTTAAAACAATAAGTTTAAGTATGGCTTACCTTGTTTAAAAATGGATTACTCTGTGAAATTTCAAACTGAGTATTGAAAGGAAAATGTTGTCCAAGTTCAACAAACGTGTTCCACTGAAGTTTTGAAGAGCTGTTCTGCTGGGTGATTTCAGCCACCTCCTGAAGTACTCCTGGTATTTATGGGATGTTGCTCGTTCACTGAAGGAAATACATATCCAGTCCAAGTGAAAATGAAACTGGAGTGTTGCCTAGAAATCCTTACAGCATAAACTGTGTTTGTGTCAAAAATGGAATGTGTTCCACCTTTTGTTAGTAGACTTTGCTTTCAGAAGAAATTGGCAATGTCATCCCTCCCATGCTATCAGAAGAAATTACTTTGAGTAGTTATTTGCAGAACCTCAAACCATCCATTCTGAAGTACTACTACTAAAAACATTTTTCTTGTAATCAATGGTACTTTGGTGATACATCTTTATGTGCAAATTTTGCTTCTCTTAATCTCGGCACAGCATCCAGTCTGCTTTTGCTTTTCTGATGCCGTTGTCCCAGATAGTAGCCGCTGCTTTAGTGGTTCCAAAATTCATCTTTCATTTTTCAGAACTATCAACCCATGTATTTTGACATAGGGCACTTGGCATGTTTGCACATTCACGTCTTTCGCAGAAAGTATCTTGTGTTAGGATGTGATGTGTTAAGAGATTAGGAAGAACCATAATAAAAATGGCTTTGAAGGCTGATCTCTGTTTTCATGTGGATGACATCTTTACTGGATGGAGTTCAGTGATTGAAAGATGATCATTGGCAGTTAAACTTCCCCATCCTTGATTTTGTTTTTTTTTTTTCCCCTACCATCTCAAAACTCAGCTGAAACCCAGCAAGTAAAGTAATTGAAGATAACTGAATTCTTCTATCAATGCAGTATGCCTTTACTAAACAGTTTCCCTTGTAGCACACGACCAAATAAACCATTTTAATACAGTTAGGTTGGAATTAACAGTAAGTGAAATAATTCATCTGCAAGGGCTGGTTGGGTTCTGCTGGAGCAATATAGTAGAACAGATGTGACCTGTGTAAAACTTTTAAGTGATCTGATGTTTTGTTGTTTTGTTCTTTTACTCTCCCATCCTCTTTTTTTTTTTCTTTTCTTCCCCTTTATTTTCCCTTTCATGCTTCACACTGAAAATCCGACTCTCACATGATAAGCCCCAGAAAGCTGGTCAGGACAGATCAGTTAAATTTGGTTTTGAGCATGACTCTCTTGGGAGGGCCGGAAACTCCATGGAGGTGTTTTCAGGTAGCTAAGTAGGGAGCACAGAGAGATCTCAGGCCTTTGAGTTCAGAAAGGGCATCATCAACTAGGCGGTGCGTTGCTTAATATTAATTTTATTTCGTGTGCAAATGCATCTTCCAAGTCTTGGATTACTACATACAGATAAGAGAGATTGTGTAAAACGAGTTGGGTCTCATTCTGCTCGATTCAGATAGCCTCTCCTGCCGCCTGGAATAATATCCCATGACTAAGTGCAGTGACATTGAGTCTTTTATTTTTGAATCCCTTGCTACGCCCTGGTGACACACGGAGTAGAAGTTCTGGCAGAGCAGTCCTGCAGCAGCAATTTAAGTAAAAGTGCTGTGAGGTGGAAAAAGGACTTCAGTAAGGTAATTGAACAGCTAGAGAGAGAGGGGTTTTTACAGACTACTGGAGGACAAAGCTGTGGCCAGTTTACCTTTACAGATAATTGACGGTTTTGTTGGAGAAAATTACTAATTTGTTTGCTGCTCCACCTCTACAGCTGTTTGTCTTGTTTTGTAAAGTGCAATTAGTTTGCTGTTGAATGACAAGTGAAAATTAGGATTACACAGTCACTGTGTGTGTGTTTCCGAAAGCTCTCAGTCTGAAGTTAATTGAGGCTGAATAACAAGAAAGAGACGGTTTGGAGGGGAGTGTGTTTTGCCTTTGTTTTAAAAAGCAGATCTGTCGGAGAGGGGAAAAAACCTCCTGGGAAATGGTGTGTCAAAAGTCACAGGCTGATCAGGATTCATGTCTTGTGTGATGTGCAGGTTGTATGTAGCAGTATGAACATAATTGACGGTGGAATATGGACTAAACATTAGTTTGTTCTTCTAGCGTTCAGAGTGCATTCCGGGAAGCAGACAGAGAGTTTTGGGAGTCACTGGGGCATGAGGGTGGGGCTCCCAGTGTGAAGCTGCGATAAGAAAGATTAGTCACTGGATGTGAAAGAGATAAGGGTTGAGGAGGTGATGTTATCCCTGTGTGAAATAATAATCCACTAGTGATTTCAGTCGTGTTCAATGTTTGAAGCTCGTCTTACAATAAAATGCTGAAAGAGAAGTTTCAAGGAAAGGTTGTGACCACTTCTCTATGGGAAGATACACATTGGCAGAACAGAACCAGGGCTTAACAGAAGTTAAGAGGTGATTTCCTCTGTCTCAATTCTAATCTCCAAGAAAAATTGCCCAGTACTAGTGTTTTTTTTTCCCCCTGGATTCCCAGTGCAAGAAGTAGAACACAATTGAGATCGGTATGGAAAAATGGCACAGAATAAGAAAATGAAATTCATCTACAGAAGAGTAATGGCATGTGCATTAGAAGACGTTGTGAGCTTAAATAGACTTTTTTTTTAATGCAGGTTATTGATCCTAGATTGTTAGGCCCAATAATGTTGCCATATATGAGACAGTGAGCTGTTTTCCAAGCATTATATTCATTCCTGGGAAATATTACTAGTAGAATAATAATGGACTCTTGCTCAGGAGATCAGATGGGATCGTTATTATAAAATTTAGGTCTTGACTCAGAATGGTTCTGAAAATGCACAAGTGTCAGCTTTGTTGCAGGTGCTCGTATTTATCATACTCATTGGCGAATTTGGACATTAAAATTTATTAATCTTAATGTAGTTTTTATAGTTATTTTCTCTTTTCACCTTTGCTTTTTTTATTGTTTTGGCTTGATTATGAGCATTATGGCTAAATTTTATTTGGCATTTGAGTAACTGTGTATAAAAGACAGTTACTAGGAATTTGCGAATATGTAATTGCTTCTATGTTTTTTTCATGCTTGCATAATGATAGATTTCTTAAATTAATTCTGTCTTATAAATATACCTTCTAATAGGATAACTTTTTAAATGTGGTTCAGGGGCTCATTTTCTTAACTAGTTCTCAGGTTAAAGTAGCAGTGTTTTGAGATAGTCTTGACCTTATAGCTGAGCAAAAGCCTAAATACTGTGTTATATGGTATCCTGTACACCTGGTTTTCAAGATTATTTGCACTCATTATGAGTGTGATTTTTTTCATTGTCATGTACCATTAGTTACTTTACAGAAATGTTCATTGACTTTGATACTAAGGCCTCAAAAAAAAATTTGGTGTAGTATGATAGGCAGTTTAACAGAGTTGTTGAAGTATAGCTTCCTTACACATTTAAAGTGCAGTCTAATTCTTCACTTGAAAATATTTTTCTTCCATTTCAGAACTACAGAATTCCACTAAAGTTATAAAAGCAGCGAAACCCAGGACAAGGAAATGCAGCAAGGTTTGTATTTTCCGGAAGGACATTTAGCTATGAGTTACTGGACTGATTGTGTTAGAAGTCCTGGTTAATCTAACCTGTTAATCTGAACTGGCATTTAGCTCAGCTGATAATATGGAAGGAAAATGAAATAATTTCAAGGGAGTATTCCTGGCTGTAAATATTCGATATGGTAAATAGCTGATATTACTGAAACGGAAAGGTAGCAAGATATTTTTAAGTTAGAACCAGAAATGTTATGTTCTGCCTTAGTAATGGTTAATTTTGCAGATAGAAAAGTAAAAATGGAAGGGAAATTTAAAATTAGAAGGGATGCTAAAGTGGTGTATGTGTGAGGGATAAGGAAAGGCACTTTTATATAATCGCATTGTATTTTTTAAACAAAACTGTGCTCGAGTGGTGTTTCTTTGCAGACCCTTCACAAGTGGTACTATATTGGTTTTGGAAATCCTTTTTGCATGTTATGTGATGTGTGTGCTTTAATAATTTATTGTCATAAAATTATCATTATGACAATAGGAGACACTGAATCCTTTTATTGAAAAATTAAGTTTCTAAAATTTTGTATAGCCACTCCTTTTCGGGTTGAATAATACCTGTGCTCAAAGGTCTTTCCAAAAGCTAAAAGACCCCTAAGCAGTAGATACCTTTAAATCACATGGGAAGCTATGTATAAGACACCATTTAATCTGACAGTTCTTTTAGGTGTGCTCGAAAGTCGTAAGCCCTCCTAGTTTGCTTTATAATAGAATGCAGAAAGTTTTGCTTTCTCACTATCTTTTTTTTGGCTGTGCCCACTTAAAATATTCTTTGTGAAAGCATTCTTTAGACAGTTCTACTAATGACAAGCTAAGGTGTATTGGACATTGATTTGGATGTAACTGCAATGAATAGTTTTTTCTACAATCGATCATATTTCGTTTTCAAAGGTTGCGTGTTTGTTTTCCGTTGTATTTCTCAGATTTTAACAATTGCTACTTCTAACAGTTCTGCTTAAAGGGGTAGCCTGGCCATCTGAGTCACGACTGACATCTTCCATATATTAAAAAGGACTAAATCTAGGAAGTAATATAGACTGTTTGTCGTCTTTGCAGGCTGGTGATTTTGGTGATATCACAAACTGGCCGACACCAAGCGAAATAGCAAACAATGAAGTAAGTATCCTTTGTTATCCTCAGTGTTATTTTTTAAAAAAAAAGACATGTTGACTGCTTAATACCACTGCCCCTGGAATGCGCTTTGAGTGTGGTAGGGTTTCAGCAGAAATTTTGTCAATAATTCAGGATACGGGTCTGTGCTTGACTGTCCGCACTAGTACTGGAATTTCTGAACCCTTCACAAGCCCACACACATACGCTCCGTTTATCATTAGTCTTGTGCCATGGAGATATGTAGGTAAAACTGTGCCATGTTTACTCCGTGATTTTAAAACTTGTATTTCCCTTTTCTACTCATTGGGAAGTTTAGGCACAGATGAGAACGCCTTTCGGGTTGTGAACATGCTGCCCTCCCTTGTGGCTCAGAATGCTTTGTGCAGGTTGCCTTAGGATGACTTGCTTATCCTTGCCCTTTTCTTCTAATATATTTTCAGCATCTTTAGTTAAAATCTGTTCCATCGAATTATCTTCCTTTTGCTTTGTCTCAAGTGATAAGTGCATAATGTATCTTACAACTCTTTTACGTTAGTTAAAACAAGAACAGAGCACAGATTATTGCAAGATATGAGGTGCCATTTCACTCTTTGCTGTAGTTCTGTAGCACCTCAGTGATGCTTTTAATGTTTTCTTGATGAGGGAAACCAGCAGATTTGGGTTCAACAGTGTGCACTGTATAATTGAGTGTCCAAATGAAAACTGAAAAAAAATCAAGGTAGTTTGGCATGAATCGTTTCTCTTGCGGGCTCAAGCTCTAACACCCTCCTTTCTCCCTCAACCGATTGTCTCCCTCAACCTTTGTTGGTCTACGTAGCAACAAAACATTTTTGGGTGTCTAACTAGGCTTTTAGCATTGTAGGTCAAAATTACAGATGACTGTAGATTTGACACAACATTATGTTTACTGCTAGATAGAATTTGCCTTCTCTGGTAGCTTGTTCTACAGGATCTCAAAGGAAGTATTTGGGATTGATAGAAGAATCTTTAAAACCTGGATAGATTATGTTTCAGTAGATTAATGCTTGTTCAGTTGCTCACATACCAGTTAGAGTACTTTAGTGTAAGTAGATTAATGCTTGTTCTTTTGCTCACATACCAGTTAGAGTACTTTAGTGTGTACATTCATCCCGTCATGGTTTAGGATTTATACAAGGTCCTTGATTTGACTTTTTTTTAAAAAAAAAACATTTAGAAGCTTCTCCTTCATCAGTATTCCTGTCAGTCACTGAGATGTTGTGAACGGAAGAGACTACCACTTCAGGAGGAGACAGTAATGATACGTTTAATGATATCATGAAGGATGCATGACTTGCATCCTAAAGCTCCCGATTTATCTGGTGGTGTTAGAGTTCTATAACTCTCAGCTGTGCATCAGACTCCTTCCTTAGTTACTCATAAGATTAGAAATCGTTTCACCTGTTCTTTTTGTACCTCAGATGCACAGCCTCTTCCTTTGCTACTCTCTAATAAAATGCTGTTCTTGAAGATTGTGTAGTCAGTTCCGCTATGTGATATTTTTTGTTCCTAACTTTTCAGAGACTACTATTTTAACACATGAGATATAGTGCAGAGAAACTCTGTAACTGTGTCCAAAAATAATGATATTTTTCTATCATGTTCTGGTGCTCAGAAAGGAGAGGGTCTGCTGAGCTTAGACCAGAGAGATGGAATAGTATTGAAAGAATTAAATTTTATATACCTTAAATAATATTTTTAAATGCTAATGTTGATTTGTGACGAGGTCTAGAATATAATATTTTAGCATCTTTTTTTGGGGTTTTTTTGAAATACTGATTTTTAGTGGCTTAAGAAAACATGCACCCTTATCTTTGGCATTCTGTTTAGTACTGCAGGTCTTTAGTATCTGCCTGGTTATTATGTCAAGTTTCGACATGATTCATAATGTCTGTGCGGTACTAATCAGAATGGCTGAGAGATATATATGTAGTGTTTCATAAGAATACATACATTTGGTGTTTTCTGTATGAAATAGTCTGCGTTAAGAGTATTTTTTAAAAGATTTTTTTGTTTACCAAATGGTCTAAATTGTATTGCACAGATGTTAGTTAACATTTTGCTGATTTAAGTATGTGAGAATTTTAGTACACAAATTCACTTAGTGTCTGTTAAACCAAATAACGTTTAGCTTGTATTTAATCTCAATTGATTTGTCTAAGGGAAGGATTTGTATTTGAATTAATTACAGGGTAGTACTGCAGTATCTACTGTAGGTACTCCAGCAGGTTCAAAGCTCTCTCGACAACATAGGAGTATTCTTTCTGTTTGGCAGAAATGTCTACGAAGCTTAATTTTGCAGGTGGATATTATATCTGATGATAGAATGGTTTGGGTTGGAAGAGACCTTTAAAGATCATCTAGTCCAACCCCCCTGCAATGAGAAGAGACATCTTGAACTACATCAGGTTGCTCAGAGCCCCATCCGGCTTGACCTTCGGTGTTTCCAGGGATGGAGTGTCTACCACCTCTCTGGGCAACCTGTTCCAGTGTTTTGTCACCCTCATAGTGAAAAATTTCTTCCTTATATCTAGTCTAAATCTACCCTCTTTTATTTTAAAACCATTGCCCCTTGTCCTGTTGCAACAGGCCCTGCTAAAAAGCCTGTCCCCGTCTTTCTTATAAGCCCCCTTTAAGTATTGAAAGGCTGCAGTAAGGTCTCCCCGGAGCCTTCTCTTCTCTGGGCTGAACAACCCCAACTCTGTCAGCCTGTCTTCATAGCAGAGGTGCTCCAGCCCTTGGATCATCTTCGTGGCCCTTCTCTGGACCTGCTCCAACAGCTCCATGTCCTTCTTGTGTTGGGGACTCCAGAGCTGAACGCAGTATTCCAGGTGGGGTCTCACGAGAGCAGAGTGGAGCAGCAGAATCACTTCCCTCGACCTGCTGGACACCCTTCTTGTGCAGCCCAGGATACAGTTGACTTTCTGGGCTGTGAGTGCACATTGTTGGCTCATGTCGAGCTTTTTGTCCACAAGTATCCCCAAGTTCTTTTCCTCACGGCTGCTCGCAATCCCTACATCCCTCAGCCTATATTGGTACCGGGGAAAAAAAATGAAGCCTTTCACTACTAGCTAAAATGCTGTTCATTTTGCCTTCTTCGAAACCTGTTATTCGGTGGGATTTCCAAGAAGTGATGATCTGCAGGATGCTGGCACTACTCAAAGTTCCCAGTAAATGCCATATTCGAACGTGGGAAAAAATAAATCTGTAATCATACACCTCCGCATCCGCTGATCTTTGGTTCATGTTCTGATTTAGTGGAACAGAATTGCCAGAGTTAAGACCTGTGGCTCCTTATGATTTACATGAACATTTGGCATGATGTTGAGACTGTACAGCATCATGGGAGTTTCTGATTTTTTTCACTATTCGGTAAGCACAGCTTTTTAAAGATAATCAGTCTGAACAGTAAGTACTGGTGAGTGATATTTCTTTCTTTTGTATAAAGTAAATTTCAGTTCAGAAGTACTGAAACATGATGGTTGTGCATTTTGCAACCCTACGTTTTCAGTTAAACAAACCAAACTTTTTTAGTCTAAAAATTCCTTTTATAGTCTTGCCAAGTTAGCAGAAAATAGAACTATTTGGAATGAGACTTTAAAAAAAACCAGTTCTTAAAACTCACCCTACTAAAGAGATTGAGAACAGGTAATAATAAAGGAATTTTATTAGGTAAAGGAAATTTATACCTTTTGCTATCAGCAACTGTACTGTCAGAAATAATTACCGGTATCTCTTGCAGTGTAAGACTGTAAGTCACAGTAAGAAGCCAACAAACAGGAGAGAAAAGGAGGAGAAATCTGATCAAAAAAGCAATAATGGAATCAAGGACAACCCGGAGGCGAAGCCAGATGGTCCAGGAGATAATATTAGTGAAGACGAAGCTCAAACTAATAACCAAAGGAAAAAAGGTCAGTCTAGACACTATGTATAACGCAGTAAGTCACCATTGATACAGCTACATCAATTCCAGTTGTATGACTTGATGAAACTTTTTGTCTTGCATTTTCTTGGTGCTAACAGGATATATTACTTTCTGCTAGGGAGCTTAAAACAGGCTTCCTTTCTCAGGTTTTGGAGTGTTCTGTTTAATCAAATAGGAGTTCTGGGGAAAAAGCAGCTTGTGTCCTACTGATGGTCTGTGGAGCTCTGACAATTTCTGGAAAATTTTGGCATGGCTATACAAACCATTACTGTCTCTCATATGTTTTTTTCCCTAAATAGGTAGCACTGTGTTAATTTAACTTCATGTATATGTGTGTGTGTGTCACTATATATACCAACACTTTAATTGTAATATTTTACTATTGCCTTATACCTTGAAGTGATCACTTGAAAACTAAACCAGGCTATTCATTTCCTTTTGGTCCGATCTGTTACCTTAAAAATGAGAAGCAAATCTGTATCTCAGTCTGTGGACTAGAGTAGGCTGGAGAAACAGCTGAGAGAGTCTTAAGATACTGCTGCTTTTTTTTTTTCCCTTGCTTCCCTGCTGGTTGTACTTCAGATTCTAAACACCTTTGTTGTTTAGATTCGTTAATCTTCCTATGTGTATTTTAAAAACCAAATCCTGTATTGCTTTTAATTTTTTCGGTCTAAGTGAAAATCTAGAGCAAAGCATTCCGCAGGTACAATCTTTTTTCCCCCCCTCCACAGTGTGGATAACACATTTTATGTATTTGTGTTATTTACGTATTCTTGGCTAGAAAGGTATGAAACCCACAATACCAATCAATTACAGAACAGCAAATATTATACTTAAATAAATGGTTAGTGGATATTTTAGGCCAGCCTACAAGAAAATGCAGTTTTACTAATAATTTTTGATGCACATGAACGAACTTAATCTGACTATCTCAAGGTAAAAATACAATACCACAACTAAATTCTCAGGAAAATGTTTTTGGTTTGTGATTGAAATCTTTATTTTAGCGCTTAGCTTGGTATGTTGTTTTTTTACCTTCAGTTTTCATAGTTTTCAAGTTGTGAAATTATATAGTAATGAATTTACTGTATATATTTAACTCTTACGTAGCTATAAATGCTTGGTAATGGAGCTTACATCTGAAAATTAATTAATTAAAAAAGCTCACCTTCATTTCATATATTTAAAGCTTAGGTAAAGTTACCTTTCAGTTTGAGAAATTCCTGTTTACTGCATTTATTGTTTAGTCATTTGTTGTATCTTAAAATTTCAATGTTAAGCTGCTGTTTTTTAAACTTTGAAATTAACTGTTACTAGTTCTACAAGAAAAATTCTATAGAATCTTGAGGTTCCAGCTCCTGAAAAGTAGTGCTGTAATCAAGAGTAATATATTAACTTTCCAAGGCAACAAGCAGAAATGGGTGCCGCTCCACTTGGATGACGTACGGTCAGACAGTCAAGACAGACCAGGCTCTCGAACTAGCTCGAGGTTTCTGCTGGAAACAAACAAGTTAATACCTCATAACAACAGACGGAATGAGACAAGACGTAAGTAGTTTTCAATCTCTTGGTCTTTCTATTTGTGGCAAATAAAGTGTAATACCACGTGAATAGGCATTAGATTGGCAGTTTATGTTGAAACTTGACTTCACCTATTCAAAGTAAAACCTAGTGTTAATATTTGCCAATAACTAGCAAAAAAAAAAAAATTGTACTGTAGTTTAATTCTGAATTGGAAAGTTCTGTTTGAAAGCTTACTGTCAGATTTATTTTCTTTTAACCTCTTCACAAATTGATCAGAGTTGTAATGTCTCAGTCGCTGACTCTGCTGAGTAGCTGAATTTGGAAACAGTCTATTTTTACAGCGTGTGCTGGTGCTCTGAATCGGAGCAGCCTATGTTTTTTTTCTTCACGGCTCCCTACAGAGTTTTTTGGACCACAGCTTTACGATGCGGGAAGTTTGGAAATAGTCTTATAAGGTGGCTGCTCTGTCCTGCTCTACTGCTATTCCCACAACTTGTTGCTACCAGAGCAATTGCTTGTGGACCTACACTTTGAACTCTGCTTTGGCAATTTGACTGATGTTGTGTTTTCCTTTTAAGTTGGATCAATTCCCTCAGTTCCCTGACCTATTTCTCAACATGGCTGTGCAAAAAGTTGTACTAGCACAACAGAGAGAGAAATGCATCACAGCTGGTACTGCTTCTGGTCCCCAGGTGTTCTGAATACAGCTTGTCAGACAGCAGAAATCTCAAGGCTGAGATTTATGTGTTTGTGTTTAAGTTTTAAAATTGCAGTATTCATTAACAATTTATATGTTGACTCATTATAATAAGTGCTGAGTGCTACTGAGATGGGATTTATTTATGAAGTCATTTTAGGGACATGAATGTAAGGGTTTGATCTGGATGCCTGAGGGATGGAGGGGGGGCAGGGGGAGGATTTTTACTTAGGGTGTCACTTGCTTCAGCAATTATTCCTTATGATGGTCAAATGACCAGAAACTTGTGGCATGAACTCTACCTCAAGGCTCTGCTGATTCAAGACCAGTTTCAGTGTGAGAGAACATAAAACATCTCTTGCTCTTCAGGAGCATTGGCTGTTTAAAGTAAGCTTGAAACAAGTTTTTTTTAGTACAACAGTAGCTCATGAAGGTGTTACATGTAGGATTTTTGCATGTGTCTGAGCCACATATATTCTCAGAGTGCAAAAATGAAAATGATTTGGGGAAATAGTTCACATAGTGTGTACGCATTTAGAATCGCTAAGGTTGAGAGTAGTAAGTGTGAAGGCTAAGATCCAAATTCCCAGTGGGACACACGCATACAGATGGATATTCATAAACTCAGAGTCTTATTTGACAGAAAATAAAGAACAGGAACTTGAATGTATGAGCATACATATTTTGTTGTGGAGTTCATTAAAAATAGTTGCTTGTAAAACAAGATTTCTAATACGAACAAAGAATAATATGTTTAGTCAGACCTTAGTTAAATTTGGCAGCTCTTAATTTGGCTAAGTAGGGGCTGTGTCCCCCAGGTACTCCTCTGACAAAGAGGTCCCCTGGCATCTGAAGACTATCTAATTACAACTTAAGCTTTAAGCAAGGGTGACTGACTGAAGATGAGAATCTCCGAAAGTATTAGGAAAAGAGAAAGAAACGGTGTGTGAGAGAGGGCTTCATTTTCTGTCACGAGTAAAGTGAGATTTACACCTGTGCTTTAAGTTTTGTGGTGAGTGGAGCCAATGTCTCTGGGGTCTGGTTTGGACCTGCTTGCTTTCCTTTCTTCTGCTTCTCTCTTGCTCTCTTTTGTTGTGTGCGGAGCCCATATTTATGTGAAAACCTTACATAGATTCTTACAGAGTTGTTTTTGATTTCAATGTGTTAGCGAAAAGAGATTCTTACCTTAAAAGCTCAGTTTGGGTCACGACCTGCAGAGAATAAAGGATTGCTGTTAAATGGGCAGAGTCAGGGGAGCAGCAGACTGCTGCTTCTGGGAACAAAAGGGAGGCTTCAGAGAGCCATTGCTGTGAAAATCCCACCCCAAGCAGGATCATCAAGAGCTAGCAGCTCTTCATAGCTCTCTCTAGGTGCTGGGAGTCCTCCACAGAAGGAGACTGTATTATGCCTGGAGGGAGAATTGCATGATCGTTCCTTCCTGTCTGTCCTGGTTTCGGCTGGGACAGAATTAGTGTTCAGATACCATGATCCCTGAGCTGGCACCAGAGTGTCCAGTTGCTTCAGAAGCATTTGAGATTGACTGCCAGTCAAGCCCATTGACTCTTCTTTATTGCTAACAGCTTCTGCCCGACACCCTCTCAGGCATGACTGGGCAAACTGTACTGTATCACTCCTGCAGCTTCAGATCTGACCTTCTGCTTCAGCCAGCATGGCTGAGTCAGTGGATTGCCTGGGCACAAGCTGAGAACTCTTCTGGTGCAGGGGACTTTTTGGCACTGTGGTATTTAATTATGAGTGCAAGTATTATGCTTTTTTTCTCTTAAAGATTGGCGTCGTGATAGAGAAAAGAGAGATGATCATGATGAAGTGTGCAGCGTGAGAAGTGAGGGTGGCAGTGTTCGCGGATTCTCCAGAGGCAGAGGACGAGGACGAGGCAGAGGAAGAGGACGAGGCAGAGGAAACCCCAGAAGTATGCAAAGAAGTAGCTGCGTAGCAGAAATTTTAAAACTATGCTTACAATGTTGTTGTTTGTGCATGAAGTAGGAGTTGTCTCAAAAAACATATCCTGTAACTTAATACAATGAAGTAGCTTGAGTCTTTTTAAAATCAAGTGCTAAAAACCTACAGTAAAAATAGCAGTGTGCATCATGCCTTTAAGTATTTGTGTGCCGAACTTAAAATTTTTTGTCATTTTTCTTTTATGTTCTCGTTTATTTTGAAGTGAACTTTGAATATTCAGTTGGTTATCAAGAACTGTATGGTGAAGGAACTGACCAAATATTTCAACCTGAGCTTAATGCTAGTGTGATGTATTACTATGGTGATGCAACAGGAGTGCAGATGTATTCTGTGGATGAAGCACTTCTCAAAGAATATATAAAACATCAAATGTAAGTAGATTGTTTAATGTACACATATTTTTAGAGATCTAGTTAAGATAAAATAACCCATTTAAACAGTGTTTAATCCTTATTATCCATATAAAGATGGAAATTAAGGCATTTGAATTTAACTTTTTGATTTGACGGTTACCAGTGTCAGTTTGAACTTATTCACTAGTGGGGTGGGAAAACTTGAGTGATGGGGAGGAATTTTAAGGCAGCTGTTGTGCATCTTGTGCTGTAGTCTGGCTCTAACTTGTATACCTGCTGTATTTATGGTACATAGCCCTCTTCATGTTGTCATGTAACTGGGATATGGATGTCTCTGAGCTTGTGCTTTGAGTACTGTTGGTCTGTTTGCCTATAAAGCTCTTCTTGGGTGATGTAGCTAGATGTTTCCCTTATTTGCTCTCAATTTCCCTTTGAGAAGTCTTGTTAGTTTTATGTTTTCATAGTGTTTCACCTGAAACATTTAACTGAAAGAGTAGTTTTGCAATGATACTTGATTTTTCAATAATCTGAAATGTTTACTTTCTCGTGTATGCCATTAGGCAGTGAGAAACCATCTGGAAGACTGATTATCACCAGGAGGCAAGTCAAAAAGGGCCTGGAAACCACTAGTTCATTTTAAAGAGACAGTTTCCACCACTGGCAGATATTTCATCTTCTGTACTTGAAACAGCGTTTCTCAGCGATGCCTTTGTGGTGGTTTTTGATTGCCCTTGTATTCCATAAAGCAACTTGCTTATTTTATTCTTGCTTCTTTTGTTACAGTTGACGCAAAAAAGGAAGAAAAAAGCCTCTTTAAGGGCAGAAAGTATCTGGCATGTGGCTATCAACTTCAAAACTTCTATTGCAGTCTTTTTTGTTACTCTTGCTGCCAGGCCCCTATGAGACCTGACAGTGGACATGTACCCCCATGTCAGGATAATCGGCCTGCACTGTCCTCAGACAAGTGAGGGAGGAGCACAGACACTCCACTGTTGGCCAGATTTCTGGGCATGCAGTGTAGAATCCAGACCTTCTAAGGTAGGACATGATGATGTCCCCCTCTGCTGAGAAAAATGTCAGTTACAGCATTGGTCACATCTGACTTCTGGTTATATTTGTATTTTATTTTAGTGATGAGAGGCTGGCAGGTGTCAGTAGAAGACTTGACATGGCTGGCTAACCAGAGCCATTGGTTGCTGGTCTGATATGAACTCCGAAGGCAGTTTGATTGTGGAGTTTGCTTTCCACGAGAGAGAGAGAGATTCTTGAGCAGGGCTAGAATATAACTTCACTACTTTTATGCTCCTTAAAAAAAAAAAAAGGTGGTTTTGTTATCTAGACACTTCTTTTATCACATTAAAAACAATGGGAAACAGACTTTGTTCATCAATTGCCTATTGTTAGCTTCTAAATGGGATGTTTTTTCCTACCTTTCATGATTTAGTTATACAATATTAAAGTGGCTATGCCAAAGTAGGAAGTATATGCAGAATAAAGCTGCACAAAACTGTTAGATCTCAGAGTTCCTTATGGAGTCCAAGATGAATCAGAATATGTTAGAGAAGAAAGATTGGTTTGAATCGTAGTGAATCGATAAATTTTAAAATTTTTCCCTGCTTAATAGGGAAAAATGTTAGAGGCTGTGTCCAACTGAGTTGATGTGTAATTACAGTAAGAAATAAACTACTGTCAAGCAGTTTATGCTTGTCCCAAGAACCAGCTTGATGTACAAGAGAGAGTAATACTTGTATTACGTGCAAAAATCTTTAATGCGTTTAATTACAGGCTGCAGTCATCAGCCTGAAAAGTTTGTGCTTAGCAACTCCTCAATTTGCAACATGCACTAGAACTCTAAAGTCCTCTTTCTTTAAAAAAAAACCCAAAAAATTAACAGTTCAGACATGTGCCCAAGTCTGCATCAATTCAAGAATAAGCAGGGGAATTCCAAGGAAATTGGAAGAGAAGAGAAAAGCTGGAGGGGGTGCGTGTGTTTAGGTTTGTCCCTCTACTTGGAGCAAACTTGTGCGGTGTCTTATCATTAACGGTCTTTCACGTTCCTTTTTCTAGAGTGATGGACATCAAGTGAGGCAGTTTGAGTCAAGTTCAGTCATTGTCCATTTCTGCTTGTGGAATTTTTAACTAGGTGAAGCGTTACAAGATTTTACCTTTACTGTATGACTGTAAAGGTAACACTAGTGAAATGTTGCTGTACGGCTGTTGTGCTTGCTGATCTTCTAGACTGGGAAGGGAAAAGAAATGCAGCAATTCAGGACAGTAGATAGGATATTCTTGGAAGAAACTTTCTCTTTGTGCACAGCTGCTTCACTGATCAGTTTACTTAGCTCTGAGTAAGAGCTTAATTCTCCAAAAGCCTTATTCTCTTTTCTGTTTGCTCAGATTTAATGGCAGTGTTTTCATTTGTCATATGTCTTATTGTCCAACTTCGAGACTATATTCATTCTGTCTGGGAGCTGAGTGTTTCATATAGAGAGCTTTTGCTTCAAATTTCTTTAGCTGACAAAAATTAGAGGTGAATTGGTATCAAGCTTCTCCTTGGGTCAATGATGGCATCAAAGTCCTCTCCTCTTGGTAACTTTGGCCTTGATCCCAACTTCAGTGGAGACACTTAGTGTTTTATACTTGAAATGAGAATTAACTTTATTTACATTTGCATGTACTTTTCTTTTCCTCAGCATTTTAATGCTCGCTTTTTTTGTTTTTGCACTACGTCTATTTGTGTGTCGCAGAATTTAAATTGCTCTCCATTAAATATTTCACTAGCTACATTTTCCCGAACCTGACGAGGAGTAGTATTCCTTCGACGTAATATGCAAAAGCATGGTATGATGTGTAAACTCTGTGAAAGGCCAAGCTTTTAGTCATCATGATTAAATTGGGTTTTTTCCCATTCTTTTTCATAGGATGTTTTCTTGTTCCTTTGCCTTGTGTGACGGATCATGATTTGAATTCCTTACTTTCTCTTCACTAAGTATAAAAACGTCTTGACACCTTGATCGTTTCATACAGCAGCTCCATTGTTTAAGATGATTTATTTTTCTGCTATTTCTTTGTCCCTCGTCTCTTTTGTGCTGTGGTATTGTCAGATTCCTGAAATGGTCTTTGTCCCTCTTCATTCACTAAACATCATCTCTTCTTCCAGACTTTATATTTCTCCATGAACTGTTGTGCCTTTTGGTACAGTTTCATGACAAATACAACATGACTGTTTTTATTTTCTCGTCTTCCCACAAGCATGCTTGAAGTAATGATTCAGAGTGTGTATATATATATATATGTGTCTCGACACTCAGATAGGATACTTAAACCTTCTAATGATCTGGAAACTGGGAAAAGAAAAGATACAGTTCAGGATGAAGGTGCACTGATACTGCTGTGTGGGAAGTAACTTAAGCCCTGACTGTAAGCAGTAATTGTCCTTCATCTGTGTGGAGGTTAAGAGAATGTTGTTTCCTTCTGTTCATGTAAGTAATAAGGGAGGGGATGGGTGAAATTGAAATTGAGCGTAGTTTTTCCTTGTGCAGTTTATATATGCAGACGTGGCGAGGCTTTGGTTTATACCCCTGTGCACGGTACTGGATCACAAGTCTTGCTTAACGTGTCGAGAGTTCGTGCCGTTCTGCAAGTGTTGCTTACAACGATACGCCTGTTGAAAGAATGATTTTGCTGATGACAAGTTATGCTCTGTTTTAATGACGAGTCTCTAAGTTGCTATTTTAGGATTTTCTTTAACCTATGATAGGCTCATATTTGTATGTTTCTTTCTGCAGTGAGTACTATTTCAGCACAGAAAATCTGGAAAGAGACTTCTTTCTGAGGAGAAAGATGGACCAACAAGGATTTCTGCCTGTTTCATTGATTGCTAGCTTCCGTCGGATGCAAGCTCTGACTACAAATGCTGCGCTCATCTTGGAGGTAAAATAATTCAGACGTATGTATGTAGAAAGCTGCTTGGTTAATTTCGTACTGCTGTTTAAAGTCCGTGTTACGAAGTGAAGAAAGGTTTCTGTGTGGAATGACAAGGATTTTATAAAGAGGCTATAAATGACAAAGCTTGTGTTTGGGTGTGTTTTTTCTTTATTTGGATGGTGTTGGATATGTAAAGTTTTTGAAGTTACAATATGCTTGTCACACAGGCCCTAAAGGACAGTACAGAAGTTGAAACTGTGGATCAGAGGATAAGAAAAAGGGTGGATCCAGAAAAGTGGCCAATTCCAGGTCCTCCTCCGTGCAGCCTGCCACCGACTGACTTCTCTCAGCTCATTGATTGTCCAGAATTCGTACCAGGCCAAATTTTTGGCTCACATACTGGTAAAGGATTTATTTTCTAATAACATAAGTTTAGGACTGTCTATCTAGCTTAGGAAATTTGCCTCTTGATAGTGATTTCATAATACAAGTTGTACGTTTGGTCACTGTTTATTCAGCTGATAGGCCAGTCAGCCTTGCAGTTGCCAAGTCACGTGGCTGACATGGCTGATGTGAAGTAGATAAAAAAATGTCTCTTCTGTGTTATGGCTGTGACCATTCTCCAGAGTATAGTATGATGGGCTGCAGTCCTTTAGTAGTAGAAGTAGTAACAATAATCTTGAGTCAGTCATAAAATCTGTTTCGTTTTGGTAACAGCTGAAAGTTAACACTTTATTTGGTGCATCCTGGTTTTGGATGGGGATCTCATTCACGTTATTAATAGGGAAATGGTTTTGTTCGCTGATAACCCTTGGTAAGGAAATCTTTTGCGAAAACGTTGGCTGGAAGTAAATGAGAAAAGTGAAGACTGAGTTAGGCACCTGTCCATAGGGCTAGAGCATGGTGTGGAGAAAACGTGTCCCTAGTGATGCTGCTCTTGTTTTCTGAATAACACATCATTTCTCTCAGTCTGTTAGATACTTTCCATGTAAATAAGTTGCTAAAATTCATCTTTTTCTAAAATGTTGAGTGAACTGTAAAAAGTTGTCTCCTAAAAACAAAAAGAAATTTTGCTGCTCAGTGTTAAATTTAACCATAAAGGTAGAAAAATGGTAGCTGCAGTTAAAAGAAAGACTAGTGAAACAATTGAAAACCAAAAATTCAAAACCAAAACAACCCTCAACAGGAACTGAACTACTGTTTTCCAATGCTAGAGTCTGCACCCAGTTCTCCAAGAATGGGAAGCCCACTGAGTCCAAAGGAAAACACTGAAACGAGCAATTTTCAGACAATGTCTAAAGGATTGTCTACAAGTTTGCCCGATTTGGACTCTGAACCTTGGATAGAAGTGAAGAAGAGGCATCGTGCATCCACGGTCAAACTAAAGGTAAAATAAAAACCTTTTAAGTATGTTTATTTAAACAAATGCAAAACCTGCCAACTTCCAGAGGATACTGTAGAACAAGATTTTTCATGTCTTCATGTAGGTGATGATTGATAATGCAGTACAGTTAGCATGCGTACTTCTCGCTCAACCAGACATAGTGAGTGCTTTTAAAGTCCCGATTCAAAGCTCACTAAAATGAAAAGGAAATACTGGGTTTTTTTCTGCTGAGGGACAGTTTTACCTCATGTAAACTGTCAATCAATAATACTGTGTTAGGTTTTTCAACAATCAACAATACTGTTGATTATTGAAAAACGTAATGTGCATTGAGAACTGTTCTAAAAGCTTGTGGCAGAATTATTTAGAACAATAATTTACTTAATAAACATCTGAACGTGGCTGTATTGTTTGTAATTGTTGTACATTTGTTTATTGAAAATGTTCTGTGATGTTGTATTTGTATCCCACTTGGATAATCACTATCCAATTCAAATATAAAATGCATCACTTTTTCCAACTTAGGAAAGTGTTCCTATACCTGATCAAACATCAGATCAACAACAGCCACCTCCACCTCCAGAGGAACAAGAACAAGAAGAACTCGATTTTTTGTTTGATGAAGAGATGGAACAAATTCAAGGTCGGAAGAATAAATTTACTGATTGGTCAGACAGCGATTCCGATTATGAAATTGATGATCAGGACGTAAACAAGATTTTGATTGTAACACAGACACCACCATATATGAGAAGACATCCTGGTGGAGATCGTACTGGCAACCATGTATGCCGTGCAAAAATTACATCAGAACTTGCTAAAGTTATTAATGATGGCTTATACTATTATGAGCAGGATTTGTGGATGGAGCAGTGTGAAAATGACACTAGGATGAAGGTAACTCTCCTAATTTTTGACCTGAAAACCATGCCTGTCCAAAAATTAACTTTAGCCATCTGCTACATAATTGTAAAATGCTACACTTTTTTGAAAGAAAAGTGACAGTAGTTGAATTTACAGATCTATTGAATTCTCTTTATTTTGATCATGTTGCGAACAGCTGAAAGCAAAACCAGCAAGTTTTTCTTGTCGTAGATTTGACCAAAAACATTGAATGAATTAATTTTTTTTTTAGAAATACTTTTAACGTTTTGGAGATGGTTCAGCTTTTCCAGTATTTTCGTGTTCTATGAATAGCTTGTTCTGTAATGTTTGCAAACCCCTACCAGAGGGGAAGGGGCACGTTTCTGAGACGAGATAATACGAGAGGAAGGTTTTACACTCATTTTAAAGTAGGTTTTTTTATTAAGGTTCTGTTTGCCCTGTAGCCCGTTAGAATGGTAGCTCTGTAAGCAAATGAAACTTGGGATTGTGCACCTTATTGTATTAGAGAAACCCTTTTATTTCCTAGCCTGTACATGGGCCCCTGTCTTAGAAGCTTTCAAAACTTTGCAAGGAGATTGTCAGTTTTGCGATAATTTTTTTTAATTATTATTTTTTGAAATATACTAAGCAGCTGTAAAACTAAAGATGAGTTGAACTCCAGCACTGCATAGGCAGAGGTCAATGTGGTACGCTGCAGTCTTGTCACTTACTGCTCTTGGTTTACTAAGAAACCCCTTCGTTTGTGTGAGGGAGCCCCACGAGTGGCATGTCTGTAGGCAATCCCACTGTATCAGCAGCAGACACCATGTGTACGGAACTAGAAAGTTACCTGAACACTAAGTGGTGAGGGGAAGGAGTTTCATCTGTGCACAGGGGCAAAGGTGGGTTGGGGGTAAAGGGAGGGGGAGAGTAGCTTAAAGGCCAAATGGGGCATGTGGGGTACAAAAAAGAGCTGACAGAAATGACTGTTGAGAATAAGAGCAAGAAATAAAGGTAGAATTCAGAATATGGAGTTTTTATTACAAAGGAAACAGACACAGAAAGCCACCAAACTGGAAGAGGGCAGTGAGAAATAGCACACAGCAAGATAAAATATTTTCTTTTTCCTTATTATGTTCTTGACAATGATATAAGACAGATTTTTCACACACAGCATGCACACATGTCCCACCTCACCTTCAGCTGAGTAGGGGTATGAGTGATTTGAGATGCTGCTACACATCTTGGAAAATCCGGTCCTTTTGCACTTTGAGCTACCAAATTGAAAAAAAAAAAAAAAGCAAAGCTGCACACTAGATTTTCTTTAGATGTAGCCGAAAGAAGGGAGCAGGGCCTCTTCTGTTCCCCTAAATTGCTAGGGTCTTCCTTGGCATGCTTACTGCAGAAGGAAAATGGCTTTGGGTTTGGAAAAGGGCAGGATCTCAGTCATTTCTACATCTTATTTGTCTGTGAAAATTCACATGTAGGTGACCTTAACCTGTCTCTGCCCATTTGCTGGCGTAACTGTTTCTTTCAGTGAGCGCCATGTGAGCTGCATGAGGTTACATACAGTGTTCACAGCAGCTTTTGTACAACGTGTGCTGGGGACTCCTTCCATCTTCCTTAAAACAAATCGGTCCTGGCTGTGCAGGGGTAGTTGTGCATCAATTCTGGCTTGCTTATTTTCTCTTGTGAGATTCAGCTGTTTCTCAGGATGATATCCATTATCGTGCTCTGCATTTATAATTTGCTTTCTCTAATTCAGCAAGAGATTGAGAACTTTAAGAAGCTAAATCTCATTAGTAAGGAAGAATTTGATAGCCTTGCACCAGAACCAATTGCTGATCTGACCCAAGAAGTTCCTCCAGGACCTCCAGGGTTACGGAAAGGTAAGTGATGCGTATTTGTTCTTTGACTCTCTGTAATAAGGAACAATTCTGTAGGTGTTTTAACTCTTTCTGCCTGTGTTATGTTTTGATTTTGGTTCTTTCAGTAGTCTGAGGGGCTTTTTGTTTGCTAATTTTTCAAGTTGTCAGCTGTTCATCAGTAGCGTGGTTTCCTTTGAAGCAGAAGCAGCTGGTACTAGTACTTTTCAGGATATATATGAGCATCAAAAGGCAGTGTTCTATTTTGTTGTCACCATATACCAACATCAAGTTCTTTCTGTGTAACTTGGCATTTACAACGTGTGAAGTAATAGCTAGTGATGTTGTGAAACTTTCTAGAAACCAGTATTTTTATGGGAGGCAAGGATAGAACAATGTGAGGTTAGACGAATTTTCCACTTGTATCGTAACCTTACTGAGCAGTCACAATGTCTAAATCTTTTGAGGTGTTTCGGATATAGTAGTAATATTAATGTTTACTAGGATATATGCTAATAGCATCTTTAAAGTAGTTGAAGAAAACCACCTCACTGAACCCACCACTTCACTAAACCCACCAGCTCACCAAAAAGTAGAACATGGTTACACTTTCACCGGTGGTTTTTTTGCATTACTTTACTAGTGTAGATACAAGAGAACAAGCAGGTAAGAAAGAAGTGGGTTTAAATTTTCTAGCAAAGACATGCTTGAAACATTATTCCTTGGTTTTGAGCAGTTTGTACTGCTGCTACACCAAGTGCTTTGGTTAATTTGATTATCGTTTGGGGATGATGTCGTTCACTTGAAATGAAACAGGCCTTTAAGATACTAGGGGGGAGCCTGGGATTTGAAATCCTGAGTCTCTTTTGCAAACAAATGTTTTCTCCTGCCTGTCTACAGATTTAGCAGAGGAACTGGCTTGTAATTTGTTAAGTATTGAAGTACCTCCAGCAGCAGCAATAGCTCGATCACTGCCAACAGCAGTTCCAGATTCCCCCTGTGTTCACCCTGGCTTTGCCCCACGAACACCTCGCACCCCGAGGCTACAGGATCCCAACAAAACACCCAGATTCTACCCTGTTGTTAAAGAAGCACGATCCATTGATGTAAAGGTAAATGGAAAGACGTATTATTTTTTTAAAACCAGAAAAAACCTGTATGACTTATGTCTGTGCATATATTTAACAAGAATGAAAAGACAAAAAATGAAACGCTTGTACTTTTTTGTTTATCTTCAAAATATTTCCTATATTAATTCCTTTTTATTTCTACAAAATGGTTTCCGAGTTTTCTCTGTAAAATTTCTCAAAAGTCCTTGCTGGAAAAGTGTAATGTGTAAAGATTTTTAGTTTGTTACTTAAGACTAATCTTCAGGTTATGAAACTGCAGTGTTGTGACTTTATGTGTTAGCTAGAATATAAAACTTTTAGAACTTTGTTTAAAGAGAGAGAATGAATGAAATCAAAGTGGGGAAATAAATACTGTTTTCCCTCTTAGACTCCAAGAAAAAGAAAAACACGACACAGTACAAATCCTCCCTTAGAATGCCATGTTGGTTGGGTGATGGATTCCAGAGACCACAGGCCAAGAGCTTCATCTGTGAGGTAAATTGTGTGTTTTTTTGGTCATAGAAAAGTTGTTTGCAACGTCATTAATTCTCACTGCTAATGGAGAAATAAGCTGCTGTAAAAGACAATTTATAGATACAATGGCAGCAAGAAAAAAGTGAGCAAGAAAGAAAAAACCATACCATACAAGGCTGTCTGGAAGTAAGCTAGCTAGACTGTGTTCACAATGTTGATCCATGATCTAGTAGCAGTAATATTACTCGAAGTACTGGCGTTCAGTGATTTTTTTTTTGCCTTTAAGTGGTCATTTCAAATCAGGCATTACAGTAATGTTTAATTATCATCATCCAAAACTGCCCATTTTTGGACATATTAGCACAGAATTTGATGTTCTTGAGGTGCACCCAAACCCAGGTGACTGGGGCCCCAGGCGTGCACTGTAGTGGTCACCAGGTGACTGTACTGTTCTGACAGCTCTCGCGTCCATCAGAATGGTTGAAAACTGATTGCGTAGCAAAGCACCGTTTATAGGACAGAAATAAGTTTGGCTTTTTTTTTTTCTTCAGTAGTTCCAATGCTTCACCTTCAGAAGGAGCTCCACTAGCAGGAAGTTACGGCTGTACCCCAAATTCTCTTCCAAAATTTCAGCATCCTTCTCATGAACTGTTAAAAGAGAATGGCTTTACTCAACAGGTGTACCACAAATATCGTCGAAGGTGTCTAATGGGTAAGCTGCTAAATGCACTTCTAAAATATTAGTTAATTTTTCCTGGGAAAGAAAAGCAAAATAGGATGCTTCTATTTTAGGAACTCTACTTTCCATTTAACTTTACATTCCCTGACAAAAACATTACCCTCAAATTTAAACTTAAGTTACTGGAAGATCTTGTGTGTGTATTACTAATGGAAAAGCACTTGAAAATATTCTGCTGAAAAATTTTAAGTGTTTTTTTTCTTTTTTTTTTTCCTTTTTTCTTCCAGAGAGGAAACGGTTGGGAATTGGCCAGTCCCAAGAAATGAACACGCTTTTTCGTTTCTGGTCCTTTTTTCTGAGAGATCACTTTAACAAGAAAATGTATGAGGAATTCAAACAACTTGCTCTAGATGATGCAAAAGAACACTACAGGTATTTGCTTTTTCCTGGAAGTTCAAAACTGTTGAGTTCTTAGGATTAATTTTAATGACTGTGAAGTTGATGTATATCTGAAGTGAACGTTTTTAGTATTGGCTTTGACTCTTTGTGAATTCTAAAAATAGCAGTCTGTATAGGTTATTTTAATACCAAAAATCTGTTTGTATGTATTTGTGCTTTGCAGACCAACAGCTGAACGTGCAACATTTCCTGACTTGTACTCGGTCCTGAATTCTACAAAATCTTGTAACTTGTGGACCATGACAAGTCAGCTCTATACTTGCTAACACTCATGATTCTTCTTTCCATAGGTGAAGACATTCTTAACCTCATTCAACTTGTTTGAGCTGTTTCTTGCCTTCCAAAAATACCAGAAAAATGACCACTACCCCTTTAGCTCTTTGATATGATTCCCTTCCTTTCACCCAGTTCCCCCTGCCTCTGTTTCTCTGAGCCAGAGAGACAAACAAGGTAGCCCAGTGTTTTGAATGCCAAGTGAGGAAGTACTGGCTATGGAAATCCTGAAGTTTGGATATGTTGTCCGAGACTGTAGAGCGATAGTGCCTAGGGTGCAAAGGTGGCTTTAATAATACTGCATGTCTCTGCTGTGAGCTTTCTTTGATCTCTGTGATTATCCAGGGATACATTTACCAGGAGAAACTTCAGGAGGCTTTTAAGGGGACTAAGGTGGCAGCAGATGAATGCAGAACCAGGAGGAGGTCCCAGCTATCCAGAGGCCCCGGGCAGCTCTGGCGATGCTGTGGCAGCCAAAGTCAGAGAGCTACTAAATCCTGGGGCAGAAACCCTGGCACGGGGGTGTGCAGGAGCTGAAAGGACACTGAGTCCTGCCCTACACATCGGGTTTTGCACTGATGGTGGGTCAGTCTGATGATGGTGGGTCAGTCTGACTTTTGGTCCAACCCTCTGTAGCTGGTTTTATGTTGAAGCTGTGCATACAAACATACTGGAAACATGAAAGCAATTGTCTTTGTTTCATATGCGTGTATAGTGTCTGTAGTTCCCAAGTGGAAACTGTGGGACAAACCTGACTTTCCTAAGTCTGTTTTGATTATTTGTGAAGATGCTTCAGAACAAGAGGTTGATTCAAAATTGATGTGAAAAGGAGGTATTTTTTATGAAAAGGGTAAAATGAGACTTTTCTGCTTACTTAAATGCAAAGAAAGACTGAAGACTTGTATCCTTCTGATAAATGAGGAGTGTATGTATAAGGTTCTCATACCTCTTGATTCTGTTACAGGTATGGATTGGAATGCTTGTTCAGATTTTACAGCTATGGCCTAGAAAAGAAATTCAGGCAAGAAATATTCAAGGATTTCCAAGAAGAAACAAAGAGAGACTATGAAGCTGGTAATTATCATAGGCCGGTCACTGCTCACACCAGGGTAACTTCAGCTGGGAGATAATCCCAGTTCCTTGGTGCTGACTTGTTAACTAACCTAAAAGCGACTTTGGTTCATGTTCCTTTTATTTTACAGTTCTCTTAAACATATAGTTACTAGTGAAAAATTAAGGTTTTAATTAAATCTGACCTTTGTAAATTGGTAAAATTACCTTTTTCCATTATTAGGTCAGCTATATGGACTGGAAAAATTTTGGGCTTACCTAAAATACTCTCAGCACAAGACTCCAGCCATTGACCCCAAACTGCAAGAATACCTTAGTAAATTTAAGAGACTGGAGGACTTCAGAGTGGATGTAAGTTTCAATTCCTATTTTAAATAAATATTTGGTGTAGGAATATTATTACTGCAAGGTACTTAATTTCACTAAAAGGCAGCTTTACAAATCCTGTCAATGACTAGAAAAAGCACCATTAAAAAAATTAAATGAAAAATGCAGTTTTATGCTGGACAATCTTTTCTGAACCAAAGTACGGTGCTGGGATGTGGTGGCTAAAATGTAAGAAGTGTTGATCTGTTTTCATTGTGTAATGAAATAAATAGGAAAAACCAGCTTGTTTGTCATCTCGTAGAGCCTGATGACTTCTATACCATTGAAGAATTTGGCAGATGAATTAATGCCCAGCTGACATTTCTTAATGAACTGACAGGCATTGTCCTTGCTGAGACTTTATGTGCCAAATTCCATGTATGCTTCCTGTAGAACGCTGAGTTCTTAAACCATGTGGTTCCAGAGTGCAGTGCTGCCATGCTTCTCATAACTGGGCTATGGTGCACTACGTTACCATCATCCTCTGTTTTCTAAAAGTTGTGGCAAAGCTTTGGGCAGTGATGATGAAATAATGCTGTAAGATTGTTTAACAAAGTCCTTAATGTGTCGTGCACTTGCACTTGTAGCTAAAAACAGCCAGGAAAGCTTTAGAGTATCGTCAGTGACTTGTGAATAACTAAGATTATGAGGCCTAACTAATTATGGAACCCTTCGTCTTAAATTTTGATTCTTTGAGTATATGAGAAGGCAAATACTCGGCCTTGCAGAAGAACATTTAACAGGTGGCCCATGTTTATTTTCAGCCTCCTATCAGTGAAGAATCTGGCAGAAAAAGACCGGTTGCTGCAACAGGTGAGGATTCAGGTCATCGCAGACATCAGTCTCATTCTTCTAAAACACTTCTTGCCACTAAACCCACGGCTGCCTGTCAGCCCCAGGCACTGGGAAACATGACCAGTGGGAATACTGTGCAAGCGTCCATAGGCCATGACAACGCTGCCACAAAATCTATAGAAAGTGATGTACCAGAAAAATAGACTGTAAGATGAGCTTGTGCCCTTGGGAATCAACTTCTACATCGCTCTTTTAATTTGGAGATCTTCAAGGCGAGCCAATCTAATACATGATTAAAAATGCATGGGAAGACAAGGGATTGGATTCTTTTTCACAGGATTTAGTTCCAAAACACTTACCCTAGGAGAGTTGCTCTTGGTTTTGGGATCATCGGAAGCATCCTAGGGAAGATTCTTTGGCTTCAGTGTTGCTTTCCTCAAGCTTTTGTTTACAAAGAACTGCATTCCTCGCATATGCAAAAAATACTTTGGGGATGCCTTACATTTCAGCTCATATTGCTTAAAAAGGTATGATACACCCATGTTATTTACTGCGCTTTCTTTACCAGGCTTTCCCATTATTTGTATTTTACCAAAGCAAAAATATTACGTTATCTGTAGAATTTTAAATGTAAAGGGAAGGATCTATGTGATTGGTTTGCTCTTGAATTTCACTATTAAAAAGTATGTTTTTGTGCAAAAGCACACTTGAACGTGCAGCTCTATATGAAACTGCATTTCTGGATTCTATTTAAAGACATAGTCTATTTTTTTCAGGGTCTCCATAGTTAGTGTTTTATGAAGTATGGAGTTCGAGTGGACATAACTGGGATAGTTTTACAGATATTTCCTTCAGTACTGGTTCTTAGTAACTCAAACAACAGGAAAACACAGGGGAAAAAGGATCTGTTGATTTCATAGGGTCTTAAATTAACATACAGTACAGTTTGTGCAGGTAGGTAAAATAGCAAACTATTGAAATTATTCTCGGCTTTAGAGGTATCTTCATTTGAATTCTCTTATGAAGTACTCGTAACAGGAGAGGCGTAATTTTAATTTTTTTTTCTCCATATTTCAAGTAATAAAAATGAGTTCGGAGGGAAACAAAGTATTCCTTGTAAATGTTGTTTGTTTTTTTTTCTTTATTTTGCAGTATCTGAATGAAGTTCTGCTGCATTTGTGCTAGCTAAGCCTAAATAATTTCAAACAGGTCTAAATACAATTTCACTGAATGTAAGTTATTCAAATACAAATCAATTTCTGCAGCTGAAAGATGGAGATGTTTATATCCTCTAATTTCTTACTAACTTCATTACTTTGTTTTTAAAGACTCAAAAAGAACTGAGTAACTTACCTCTTCCGAGGGTAGGTAAGAAAAGAATTTCAGCTTTTTGTTAGTTAACTGCAGAAAAGACTTCTGTTAACTTTTAAGATTTAAAAAGTTATGTCTAGCCTAAATGCCTTAATCCGTGAAGGTGTCCCAAGTGACTGCGCCAGCCATGTGTGGAGTTTTAAACTTGTATCAGATCTCAGAGGTTATAACAAATCCATTAATTTTTCATTGTCTTGTGAATCTCAATGAAACAAATTCTGAAAAGTTTGCACTGTAAAGGAGTGGATGTTAGCAGTGGCCTTCCCAACAGTTAATGCAATTCCAGTATACAATTGAGCCTTCTGGAAGTGGCCTGCGCTAAAGGAATTTAAACGAACACATACCCGTATTTTAAGTAATATCTTGTAACTATGCTGAAGTGACACATCTCAGTCCTGTGTTTGATCCATGCCTTTTGCTATCCAAGAAAATGATGCGAATGTAAATTTGGATTGAAATTGTATATACAAGTAATAGATTTAAAATATTTCACTTTTTCATTGGAAAATGTGCAGATTAAGCTTTTAGTGTGTGTAATTTTGTGATATCTTGACAAATTTTATAAAAACAACAACAAAAAAAACTCTAACGGTGTTGTATATCAACTTTTTTTTCCCCAAAGTGTGAAGAAAAACAACTTGAAA